AGTGGAATCACGTAAAAACCACGGAAAATGCAGCAGACCCGGCATCAAGAGGTTTACTTCCACGCCAGTTAGTTGCTTCGCAGTTGCATTTAAACGGTCCGGAATTCTTACGGCAGCCTGAGGAACAATGGCCTAGTCAAATTTTAACGAGACTTCCTTCCGAGCAACTTCCGGAGTATAAACAACCAGTCAAGTGTGTGTTACATACCCTTAAATGTAATGAATCAGAAGAGATCTTCCGTCGTTTCTCATCACTAACAAGAATGCAGCGAACACTCGCTTATGTATGGCGCTTTATTGATCGGTGCAGACAAAGACCTGTAAGCAGGGGTCCAATTACTCGAATTGAACTCAATCGATCGCTTCTTATCGTCATTAAGCTTACGCAAGATTTTTATTGGGAAGGCTTACGAAAGCGGTTGGAAAATACCTCGGCATCGATAACCCCCAATTCACTTGCTCAGTTGTCACCATATTTAGACAATGAAGGATTAATTCGTGTCGGCGGTCGACTTCGTTTCTCGCTTCTGACCGAGGAAGCTAAGCATCCAGTGCTGCTCCCTAAGGCTGCTTATGTCACGCAGTTAATTATCAGCCATTATCACTTAAGTCTTCTACATGCCGGTCCAAAATTAGTTATGGCCATGATTCAACGAAAATATTGGATTGTATCAGGGCGTGCAGTCATTCGGCAAATTATACATACATGTGTTAGATGTGTGCGCCATAGAGCTGCGTGCCCACAACCAGTCATGGCAGACTTGCCACCAGTACGAGTACAGCCTCATCGACCATTCGCATTCGTTGGCATGGATTATGGTGGACCGTTTAATGTGAAAGAAAGCCGTCGACGAGGTGCCAAGACTAATAAGGCTTATCTTGCTCTATTTGTGTGTTTATCAGTGAAGGCAGTCCATCTGGAAGTGGTGAGCGACTTATCCACGGAAGCGTTTCTTGCTGCTTTCGATCGCTTCACTGCTCGTCGGGGGATTCCAGTTGAAATACGTTCTGACTGTGGAACAAATTATGTAGGTGCTGCTCGGCAATTGAAATCTTTGTTCAACGAAGCAAAAACCCGAGACACTCTAATGAGTAGGATCCCATGTCAGTGGTATTTTAATCCACCTGCGGCCCCTCATTTTGGAGGTATCTGGGAGGCCGCAATTAAAAGTGTCAAGACTCATTTGAGAAAAGTCATCGGTGATCAAATAATGACCATGGAAGAATTTACCACACTAATAATTCGCATCGAAGGAATCTTAAATTCGCGTCCACTCACAAGTGTCTCCAGTGACCCAAACGATTTGTGTGCTTTAACTCCTGGGCACTTTCTGATAGGACAACCCCTCATGGCAGTTCCAGAACCTGATTTGACGGACGTTAAAATCAACCGTCTAAACAGATGGCAACTGATCAAACAAGCGCAGCAGTCTTTTTGGAAACGATGGACCAATGAGTACTTACAGACATTGCAAGGCCGCCAAAAGTGGTTAAGGCAAGATACCAACTTAAATATCGGTGATTTGGTTGTCGTAAAGTCTCCAGTACGACCTGTCATGTCATGGCAATTAGGAAGAGTGACTGACGTCCATCCAGGTGCAGATGAAGTTGTACGCGTTGTGACGTTGAAGACAGCTGAAGGAACCTTGAAGCGTCCAGTAGTAAAAGTGGTGAAGTTGCCTGTGTCCTGATCGGAAGATTCTTCTATCAACCAGTGTTGTATTTTATATTTATTTTATGTAAAAGAGTAAAAGATGTACAATTCATTACCCATTATTTGTATAACTATAAAATTTTGAAAGTATCCTTTCAAAGGCGGGAGGATGTTGGGTACAGCTCTGGAATGATCGAAACTGTTCTCGATCATTCTATAGTTGCGCCTGTGTCACCGCGACAGCGCACGAATATTCTAGACGCGGCACCCCCCTCCCCTCTGGTGATCTATCCACGACGGTCCCTATATATACAGGCTACCGCGTCTGTCTAGTGGCTAGTCACGGTTTTTATTGCGTTGGTAATTTCCGCGTAATTATTTCGTGATCGTGACATATATTTTACGTTGGTGGTTGCCGCGTAAAGCTTACTATCGGCTGTTGCAGTGGCGCAGTACGCGGTAAGAATTTGTTTTATTGTAATAATAATTTAGCAATTGTCTGTTATAATTTTGTATTATTATTTGCTATAGTTTTGTTAAAATATCCAAATATTGTATTGTAATTTCGTACAATTATATTCTTTGATGTATTATAAGTTACATTGACTTTCTTATAATTTTTCAATACATCATATTATTTCATTATACACATAATACAGTCCACTTATCTTAGTCAAAATATACACTTAAAGCGTGGTTACCCCGAACAACGAATTGCTCGAGACCTCGCTTACAAATGTATAGATTGTAATTCTCCAAATAAAGTCAATTATTTAAAAAAAAAAAAAAAAAGGTTATAGTATGATTCATTAAACATACTAGGTCTCTTTTTCCTTCAATACCTGTTTTAAATGTTTAAGATTTTTTGTACTACTTGAGGCGTGTCTTATAAGAAACTATTCCATTAAAATTTTAGTTTGGCACATCACTTTTTTTGAGAAAAGTGTTCATTAAATAATTTGCAGTAAGAAAGGAAATTTCTCATAATCTCATTTGAAAAACAAAATTTTGTATCATCACATAAGACACTCTTTTAAGAAGTGCAAAAAAATTCAAGAATTTGAATAAATTAATTATTGAACGAAAAATGGTGTGAGGAATTGAGGAGTACCTATTATGCTACTTATAAATATATACAGGGTGTATTTATACAAACATCTTGTAAATGGTTTATTTTAAATCAAGATTATTAAAAAGAAAATGTTATCTAACTTAAAATAACTTCCAGAAGTATTAGGAATAGCTAAGCAAAGTATTTGGTGTATAAATCCGGAAGTATAAATAAATTAAAAATTACAATTTATATTGTTCAAGAGTTAGGAGAGAGTGATTAAGATGGTTATAGAATTCTGTGAGCCATGTTCAAAAAAATATGGAATTTTGCAGATATAGTGAAACACATTGCGTGAAGAATTGCCATTTTACCTTGGGAAAGTGAACTCTCAAAACTGACGATATTGGTTTGACTCTAATCCCCGTGTATTGAGACAAAGACATTACATTATACTAAATATTTAGTTTTAATTCATTACATTCCAATCATCAAATAACTATGATTTAAAATTAACCTCATATTTACAAAAATAATCAATATCAATATAGCCATAAGTACCTTCCTTTGTTTTTTAATCTGAGTTAAACACAGATTTCCAATGCTATTTTAATAGTAATCGAATACCATTATTACACAATTACCTACCTTAGTCCCAAGAATCCAAATTGAAATTTCCGAGTATAGTAACTATGAAGAGAAAATGTAAAGTTATAAATTAATTGTGATTGTATAAGAATTATACTTATTTTATGATTGCATAGTAAGATAAAAATAATAAACTATATTTTCAAACTTATTTTGTAGACTTTTATCCCGAAATTTGATAAATATTTTTTTGGCGGAGTGTATCATTAGATTACCGAATTAACTGTATAAAAAGATATGAAAATGCATTAAAATAAAATAATTTGACTCTATAGTAAATTAAATCCATACCGATTATTTCAACTAAAAGTATTTACTAATGAGTAATGACTAATGAGTTTACTATATTTCGGAGGACCTTAAATAAACTATCGAATCAAAATTGGTAATTTGACTAACAACATTATCAGAAAAAAAACCTCTACCTGAACCCATTAAAAAATATAGTTATTACCATTAGAAAAAATAAAGTTGATTTTTTTGCTGGTACAACTACATACAATATACATATTTAACAACTTTGAAATTGTGAAAAAAAAAATGATAGTTAAAAATAAAGAAACGTTACTTTTTTCATTTTTAGAAAATTCCATATAATTATCGATCCATAATCATTAAAAAAAACCTCACCCACAATGGCTTAAGATACGCCCTTTATAATATTGCAGTGTCCTCGACGTTAACACAATATTGATCCTGTTGCGTTAATTATCCTGGTCTTTTTTTTTAAAAAACAAAAAATCCCATTCACTTTTCCTCTCTGTTCTTCAGAAACTGCAGCATGTAATTTCAGTACGGAAACGGTGCGGCGGCTTATGCGCAACAAATGCGGTCGGTTTCATTGTTTTACGACGAAGCGTTAGTGCCTCGTGGTGCAGTGGCGGATGGCCCCCGTACGGGGGCGGTTTAACGACACGCGGTGGACTTATTTTCAAAATATAAAATATAGGCAGAAAATATTATACTCTCCGCGGGAACAAATTTCGGATCGATTTGAATTGTGAGAGCGCACGCGCGCATACTCCCATAGGGCACTCTGATTGCGATCTCCGTTTGCTTTCGCGTAAAAGGTTTACTGTATACATGCATAAATAAACTCGATGAACAAATGCAATATATCATTAAGTATAATATTGTACGCCCGTCAGCAGTGTCTGAACCGTGTGGTCTGTTTCTCTCTCTACATAGCTCACTCTCACTCTATTTCTTTCTTTTTTTTTTTCTTCCCGTACACCTCGCCCGCCCGTAACTATGTTTTCCGGACCCTTTTCGGCTGTGTATCGTAATTACCCGAAAACGATTTCACCAGCGGGCTACAACGTGTGTATATATATAATATACAATATACATTATACATACATATATATACACGCGCGTAATGGCCTCCGGAACCTTTTAAGTAGGTCGGCCAAAGGGTATTTATATATATACGAAAAACGCGATTCTATTAATTAATAATGACTCCGCAATAATTATATTTTGGTTAGACCGGCGACGGTGCTCGATCGCGGCTCGAGCTTTATTTATTTAAAATAACAAGGAGATTTTATTTATTTATATATTTTTTTCACCCACCCCAAACCATTATACTCAATTTTGAGCCGGCCAAACAGATTACCCGAGCAATACGGCGATCCGTCTTGCGATCGAAATCGGCCAGTTTCATTATTACGGTCTATACAGTATACACACGGTATAGTTGTCCGTCCGTTCAAACAATAGACCCGTGTGGGTATTTTAATTTCGTCGGAACGTGATTGTTTCGTTTTTGGTCTTTCTTATCGACGACCACCACACAAACGAATAAACGATATCGCTGTACGCATCGGTATACAAGTATAAATCGCCATCTCTAACGGCACGTTGGATTTAACGACCTTACACTAGTTGCTAATTAAAAAAAAAAAAAGGCATTTCATGTAATCACTAGGTAATCGAATTAATTTCGTTTTATTCGATTCTGTTGTTTAACATAAGTCATATAACCCACGGTCTATCGCGAGCATAAATTTACCATAGCATTTCGTATGAATATGATTTATGAGCCGAATTTAGTTTTGTTTGCGTGCAAAAACCAAAAACGGTTTAAATGACGGCAAAATAATATATTAATGAAATTGAAAAACGAGATTTTTGAAAGCTTTGTGTTATAACAAGGGAAACGCTCTCTTCGGAATTGAAAAGTTCAAGTATTGAATAAAAACGAGCATATAGTGAAATGTAATGGAAATGTGGCTGGAGTTAAGCCGACCGGAGAAATGAAATATAATTGTTCGCCAGTGGTATTATTATACACCGCAATATATAGAATGGATTGTTTTCCGATGAAGGTCTAAGTGAAACGTTCTGTTCAACGTCCGCTACAACTGTGTAGTAGTTTTCGTAACGAATTTAAAACTCAAACTTTTAATTGTCGGCGCCTATATATAGCCCACAATAATAATATGCGGCGTATAGTTTTGATGCTCGAACATTCGCGAGAGTGGTGTATAAAATGGCTTTTGACAAAAGGTCAGAAATGGTTACGTGTAATTACCATCTAAATGACCGCTATTGGAAATGTAGTACACTCGGTTTAAAATTATGTACGTATATACATATTATTATACATATTTATGAGCGAGACGGCAGTGCACACGAGAGATGATTTGCATTTGTGCCGTTCTCACAAGAAACCCTTTACCCCCTACGATGTTTTGCTAAGGTTTACAATATGATTAGCACTAACAGGAGTTGTTGTTGTTGTTGTTGTTGTTGTTGTCGTAGTCGCCGTTGTTGTTGTAGTAGTGATGGTACTGAGGTCGTGGTTGTGGTACCTCTCTGTTGAAGTCTGCAGTTGTATATATGGGGTAGCTAGGTACCTATATTATACGAGTAGGTACGGTACATACCTACAATTATTGCAGGTTAATGGCGGCTTACGGCCTGGGCGAGACGACTGAAAATACGAAACGGATTGTCCCCGAATGAGACATTGTGTTTCATTTCGTTTTATTCGATGTACATTGTACATATTTTATAGAATTCGAAAAATTGTATTTATTTTTTTTTTTTTTGATAAAATAAAAAATAAAATTCTCATGACATCATATTTTTATTTTTATTAAAATATGAATAGAAAACGGGCTTTGTATAAACTGTGTAATATAGTTGTTATGTTTGAAGAACGAAGTTTCAAATCGTGTAAAGACATATTTTCTCCAAAAAAACACAGGAATCGGAATGCAGACGGAACGAGAGTCTCACGGTAAAATCGTAAAATTATCGTTGTTATTACTATTACGAGGACTGAAGACGATGACGACAGCACCGGTTCGCATACATAGTGCAGTCGCAAG